ATTGGAACGTTAGAGTGAATTTATCATATAAGATGTGTTCACTCACCTCAGTCCAGAGGATAAAATTTTCACCAAAACTGTGATACATTGCTTTCTAGAGGGAGCCCAGACATCTTTGAAGAGCTCTGTATTGGCTCTTCTCTATTAGTCAGAAATTACTGTTAGCTTGCCCTCTAGGAAGGGCCATGGTACACTGCTAAATATTTATGTTGTTAATCATTATCCCAACCTGTAGCCAATTACTAGGGTGATGCGCAATGGTGAAAAGTTAAGTAATCAGAATTCTAAGAGATTATTTGATGCTGGCTCTGAAATGACATTAATGTTTGGAGAAGGAAAACTTCTCTGTGGTTCACAGGTCAGAGAAGTGGCTTATGGAAGTCATGGAACCAATGTGGTTTTACCTCATGTCCATTCAGTGGTTAGTCCCTGAATTTACTCTCTGGTTATTTCCTCAGATGCAGAATGTATACTTAGAGTAGACATATTCAGAATGACAGAATTCTCACTTTGCTTCTCTGACCCATCAAATGAGGGCTACTATGATAGGAAAAACCAAGTAGAAGCCACTAGAACTACCTACCTATAAAGAAAGTACACCAAAACCAACATTTCATCCTGGAGGGACTGGAGTAATTGTGGCACCATCAAAGGTGAAAGGTGCGGGGTGGTTACTTTATGACATCCCTTTCAATATACTTATTCTTCCTATACAGGAAGAGACAGATCTTGGAGAATGACAGCTAATTATAATAATCCCATTGCAGCTGCTTTTCTACATGTGGTTTTCTTGTTTTAACAATCAATCCATTCCCCGGCACCTGGTATACAATATTGATTGCACAAATGCTTTTTCCCTTATCAGTGAATATCACCAGAAAGAGTTTGGCTTCGACTGAAAAGGTCAACAATGCACCATCATTTCTTATCTCAGGCTTTTATCAACTCTTTTAGGCTTATGTCATATCCTAGTCCTTGGAGACTTTGATCACCTTCTCCTTACACTAGAAGTGACACTCTTTTTTTTTTCTTTTTGCATTAATGGTATTATTCTATTTGAGAAAGAGGTAACAACTAATGTAGACACATTGACAACACACTTGAAAGACAGAATGTGTTAAATATTTCACACAAAATCTGAGGCCTTCCAATTAGTGAAATTTTTAGTGATCTAGTAGTCTGGGAAATGTCAAGATAGTGTTCATAAGTAAACAGCAAGTTTCAACATCTTGACTTTCTTACCACTAAAAAGGGTCACAACAATGAATTGGGCCTACTAGGTGCTGATCTTAACATATAACTCATTGCCATGTGGTACTCAATGACAAGTGACCTGAAAATCTGCTAGCTTGGTGTGTGACCCAGAAAAAGAGAAAGTTCTATGACCCTGAACCTATGACCTCATGGGGAGCCCTCTGTGATCAGTTGACTAGGAAAAAAAAAACATCATGCCTGATTTCCAGTTTTTACTTCACAATATGCAGGTGATGCAGGACAGGGCAAATCCCTCCTGAGCAGATTACAGTCCTGCACTAAGAGAGAATGCGTTCTTGGTGGAGCACAGGAAAAAATTTGAGGGCACGCCAGAATTAGAGTCAAAAGGAAAGTTTATTAGAGGACTGATGCTCCATAGACAGAGCATGGTCTCCTCTCAGATACAAAGAGTGAGAGAGCCAAGGGACAGAGAGACAAAGAGAAAAGACAATGGGAAGGACAGAGACAAAGACCATGAGTGTTCACGGATTTCAGTTTATGTATCATTCTTAGTTTCTATGAATCACAGTTTAAAGACTTTGTTGACCCATTTTCCTTTGATAGTGTGGGTATAGAGTTGAAATTAAGGATATGTAGCCTGAAGAGTGTGCTAGCCTTTGATCCACAGGTTCTCCATGGTTTTAGCCTAGGGAATGAATGATTGTGTCTATTGTGTGTAGGTCAAGACTTAAAGACTCTACTTATCTGTT